TACAAGAGTTATACAGTTTTGGCTGAATTTTTAGAAACCATGCTCAGAAACAAAAGGACCCCGCAATATTTAAACGGAAATTGGTTACCCGTGATATTTGGATGAAATTTAAATATGTTATTAAAAATGTCGTAAGCAACATTTTTTTACCATGGGCGCAACCTTGTATATATGACAGGTGAGGCGGTATCAGCTGTCAAATATTGGAATTTAATATTCAAAAGCAGGGTAACTATGGCCGATTTTGATGAAGCAAATATCGATTCCTAATAAGTCGACCAAGGAAAATCGAAAAATGCCAACCATTTTGACATCTGTCAAAACCCTGCCAAACGACAGCACTAATCTTTTCCCGTTTTCAATATTCCATGATGTGTCATTTGACAGTTTCAACCTATGTAAATTCCAAGTTCAAAAATTAAAAAAAAAAAATACAGAACTGTCAAAACCTGTCATTTGTTTTAGTAAAAAAAAGATTTCAATTTGGCTCTTTTTCGTTTGAAGGTAGTTTATTGGTGATAAAACATGAAACAAAACTCATAGACATCAAATTTTGACAGCTGTCAGAATCTGACATTGGCTTTAAGTGAAAAAAAAAACTGAACTCTAGTTCTGTTCCAATTATTTAAGTTATGCTTATTTATTATGAAGCATAAAAAAAAATAAACACAGGTTTCAGATTTTGACAGCTGCCAAAATTTGAGGTTGATGAGCTTTGCTTGATGTTTTATTACCAATAATAAACTACCTTAAAACAAGAAAAAACCAGATGTACATTTTTTTTCCTACTAAAATAAATGACAGGTTTTGACAGTTCTGTAATATTTTCCGCAAGTGTTAGGTACAATATTTTTCCCACAGGCGTAAAAATGTATTTTTCTTTTTTTTTTTGACAGCCGTGCGGTAATTTTTTTTCCGCACTGACAGCCGTGCGGAAAAACTTTTTAAGCACTCATATGCGTGCGGTAAAAGTTTTACCGCACCGTGCGGGAAAACTCATTTTCCGCACGCATATCAGTGCGGAAAATCGATTTTTCCGCACGGCTGTAGGAAATAGTTATTTTCCTAACAAGTGCGCAAAGTGTTACTTTTCCGCACGCAAACACAGTTATACGAACGACGCGAAGCGGAGTTCGGATACGTGTTTGCGTGCGGAAAAGACACTTTGCGCACGTGTTAGGAACAAAATTTTTCCTACGAGCTTCATATCAGGTAGGTAACAACAAAAATTTAAAAAAAAAAAACGATAATTTGTTTAATTATTTTTAATTAACTTGAAGGGAACCTATGCATTTATCAAAAAATTACATAACAAAAAAAAAATATAACAGAAAATCATCGTCAGAGCTCTTCATCTTAAAGCGTTTAATGGCGATTTCCATTTGTCATCAGTGCCGCACTGAGTGCATCCGCATCTTTTTCTAAAAGCATGTAACATGTAAGGATAAGGATACATTTTTTGCCCTGTTTCGACAAATGGAAAATGCTATAAATTTGATGAGAAAGTTTGTAGATGCATATATATAGAAAACAAATCTGACAATGTGTTGAAGTTAATTAAATTTGGTGTTTGTAGGTATAGATGTTAGCTGAAACAGGAACAGAGGAAAAATTTGTCATCATGTGTCAAAGTCGACAGGTGTACTTATTGTTGCTTGACAATTATTTTTACTTTTCGGCACTCAGTGCGGATAAGGCCTGTATCCGCACTGAGTGCGGAAAAGTGCAACTTTGAGAACCGAAATGCGTGCGGAAAAGTACTACTTTGCGCACGCTCGTAGGAAAAAATACTATCCTATTAATGATTTTGTGAACCATTCTACCTGTACAGGTGAAAGCTGCAGGTAAAATTTGAGGTAGGTACTTGGTTTCTCTAAAAGTATTTTTAAAATTTTTAAAACCAAATTTCTGACATTCAATTTTTGTTTTTGACCATAGATTTTAAAAATTAAGCCAATGCTGTACAACTTTTGTATTTTACATCTTTCATCTTCCTATAAAGGTAAAGGTTGTAGGGTAGGTGGGCTATCAATATATAAAAAAACACCCTGTACAGGGTGGGCCAATTTGGACACTTTCTTATGGAAACACCCTTTATTTTTAGAGATAGAAAAAAATGAACCCCACACTCTGAGGCTGAAATTTCATGAAATTTTGATTGGTGCAAACCGCATTTTGATATCTTCAACCGTTTAGCCGCTAGAGGGCGATTCTCGATTTTGAGCAATACTGTGAAACCTTCATAACTTTTTTATTTATGAAAATAATTCATTTCTGTAAAGACTTTCTGGAAGCACTTTTTTAAGTGGAATTCAGTGACGTACTCAGCTTTTTTCTATTTGGCTCCAATTCCGAGATATTGACCAAAATCCGATTTTTTTCAATAGGATATCCTATATACACTGCTCAACAATCGAACTGGATAATTGCAAATATACTAAAATCCTCATTTAAACAAATAGATAATAAAAAGGTGTTTTATATTATCAATAAACAGTTAATTGATTATCAATAAACTGGTTATTGATAATATAAAACACGTTTTTATTTTCTATTTTTTTAAGTGAGGATTTTAGTATATTTGCAATTATCCAGTTCGATTGTTGAGCAGTGTATTAATAGCTCATTGAAAAGCTCTTCTTTTGCTGATTTCAATGATATAAAATTCGATAGGTTTATTTCCAACGGTTTCCGAGAAAAAAATTATTTTGATTTTTGTCATAAGACACAATGTGTTGGAAAAGGACTTTATATCTGTAAGGAAAACGAGAAAGGTCTCTTTCTAACACATTGTTTCTTATGACAAAAACAGAAATAATTTTTTTTCTCGAAAACTGTTAGGGATAAACCTATTGAACTTTATATCATTGAAATCAGCAAAATCAGAGCTTTCCAATAAGCTATTAATATATAGAGTGTTCTATTGAAAAAAATCGGATTTTGGTCAATATCTCAAAATACGAGTCAATTAGAAAAAAACTGAGAACGTCACTGAATTTTTCTTAAAAAAGTGCTCTTAGAAAGTCTTTACGGAAATCAATTATTTTCATAAACAAAAAAGTTATGAAGGTTTCACAGTATTGCTCAAAATCGAGAATCGGCCTCTAGCGGCTAAACGGTTGAAGATATCAAAATGCGGTTTGCACCAATCAAAATTTCATGAAATTTGAGTCTCAGAGTGGGGGGTTAATTTTTTTCTATCTCTAAAAATAAAGGGTGTTTCCATAAGAAAGTGTCCAATTTGGACCACCCTGTACATAATCTTATTGATTTTGTATAAATATTTATTTATTAGAACAAAAAAAAAACAATACATTAACTCAACCACTAATAATATACTGTTTGCGGTTAAAGTTTTTGGTACAAAGACAAAAGTGTGATTTTTTTATAGGTTGAAAATGTCAGCCAATGTTTTAAAGTACCTAACAAATTTTGAAAAAATGGAAAAAATCAATACGAATACGCAGTGGCGGATCTAGCATGAAGCAAACGACGCACTCTGCTTGGGGCCCCCAGAGCTGAGGGGCCCCCACACAACCAGATTCTAAAGGGACCGATAAAAACGAATAAAAAAAAATCGTAGATATAAAAAAAAAAACGAAATTGTATACCAGGATGCCTATTCCCGAAATCGGGAACAGCGTTCTCACGAGAAAGAACAATTGCTCTGTCTTTGTCAGTGTTATGGAAATAGAAATATGGGCAACAAAGACATAACCTTCGTGATCATGAGAACGCGTATCTCCTGTTTCGAGGATAGAGGCCCTGTAGGCCGGGAATCCAGGGCTGGGATCACGAAAAGTAGAATTCCACTTTCACGACGTCATTAGCGACCTATTTATCGCGTACATTACGGGTGATGATGACAGTTGCTAGGCAACCTGACGTCATGAAAGTAGACTTCTAGTATAATGTCGTGATCCCAGCCCTGATGCACTTGCGGCAACCGCGGACGCGTCGAGTTTACGCGGCTTTTTTAGGTATTGTCCTTCAGACTCCAGAGGGGCGCTTTCTTTTATTCAGCAGTGGATCCATCAGTAATCAGCCTTTCTTTGTCTAGCTCATAGAAAATAGGAATGTTTATCTTATAATGCTGGCAGCAGATGGATCTATTGCTGAATAAAAGAACGCGCCCAGCTTATGGCACTTGTCGCCTGTCGGTGAAGTACAGACAGTATCAGTATTACTATGTTGTTTATCTTTTTGTTTAGATAAAAAGTTCCTGAATTTTTACAATTTCTATTTTTTTTTTCGATTAACTTGTTTTTTGTCTCATATGTTCCCAATAAACTTGTTTTTTGATTGATTAAATTTGTTTTTATCCAACACCTGTTAGTTATATTATAAGAGTCATTATTGTGCCAATTTAAACAGGTAAACTATCAAATAGCACACTAGTGTGTTATAAACCATAACACACTAGTGAGTTATGGTTTATAACTCACTCTCTTATAACGTCAACACAAAACGTCAGGGAATAAATTTTTTATAAATCATGCTTTAAAGAAGACTCATTCCCAAGAAATACCAGTCAGTTTTTTTCAATTCTCATATGCTGCTCGTGTCTTATGATTTCTTAGTTATTGGATAAAACATTGTATGCTACTCGTGTGTTATGTTTTTAAGTCACTTGAGAAATTATAAGTTTTTCTCGAGTGACTTATTTTGAACATAACACACTCACACTAGTACCATAAATAACTATTATATTTGGTTGTTAAAAACTCCAAAAATATAATAACTTTCGCACACTCACCTCACACCCCAACACCAGAAAAAAAAATAACTAAAAAAATGCATGACAGGGCCCCAAAAAAAAATTTGCGTCGGGCCCCAAAGGTCCTAGGTCCTACGAACTCTCTTTTACTTTCTTGTTCAAAAGACTATTTCTAGGGGGGGGGCAAATGCCCCCCCTTGCCCCCCCCCCCCCAAACGACGCCCATGGTCGTGAATCAAATTAAATTATTACACTACTGTGTTTATAAAATAAAAATTCTTACCTTGGCAAAGTCAATTTTCAACGTACAACAGCCGGAGTAGATGTCGGCTCCGTTTAAACTTTCTTTGGCTCTCATTGCAGCTTCTACACTGTCAAACGTGGATAATTTGAGTTAAGGAGATATGTAAATAAACTCGTAAATTATTTTTAACGGGCGACAATAATTCGGTTTTTTCTGGCGTCAAGAGGACCTCACACCAGGAACAGTAGCCTTGTTGATAAAATGCAATATGTCAACAACAATGTTATCCATATTAGTACTAATTTGAATACAATAGGATGTTGATGTTAGATCAAATAGGGATTTGTTGCGTTTGTTTTCAAACTTAGACATTCTGCACATGCCTAGTAGACAAAACTGATGAAAGATGTACAGGATGTTTTTTTATATATTGATACCCCACCTACCTTTACCCTTACAGGTAGATGAAAGGTGTAAATCTCGGGAAACATAGTTTTGGAGGCCATATTGACTCTTGACTGCCATCTTGACTCTTAACAGCTATCTTGAATACCAAACTGCTAACAGGCAGATTTGTGTTTAGCGGGGCGAAATACCCTAAAAACGTTGTTTTCCTACTTTGTTACATGAAATGGTTCTTACATATGGTTCATTTCTGAAAACGTGGCTGTCTCAAGTTCCATAATTTTCCTTGCAGGATCAAATTATCCTTACTTTAGATGAAATTCCCTTGGAAATCAGTGAGTTGATTCAAATTTAATCAATTGAGATAATTTCAATTTGATCGAACAAATCAGTAATGATATAACATTTCTGCTGCAACAAATCCCTATTTTCACATTACAATAATTGTGTGACGCTAAAACATTGTTAATAAAGACACCATTCTAATAATAATTCAGGCTAATTATTCTCCTTATTCATCACACCTACTTTTTACGTTGATAGCATAAAAGCAACTGCTGTGTAAAATCAAATTAGGCGCGCTCTAATGAAGCTCGCATTAGAGTAAATGGAGCTTAATTCTAAAACCTATTTTGTACATAAAAAGGATATTCGACCATAGCTTGTACGCCGTTCTTCTTGAATATGACTATTCTGAGGACTTGTCCGCTCGACTGGCAAATTGTGTGCAAAACATCCTGAAACAAAAATTAATTATATTTGCCGCATGAATAGGTTAGAAAGTGTTTGACTAATTATAAAGATCAATAATTATATTAGCTTAAAACTAGGTCGGGTTTTCAATTAAAGAAAGGAAGAAAATGGTGACAAGAGTTACAAATAAAACATGATAGATTTTTGATAGTTGAATTATTAATAACACTACCTACTTCAATTCCTGAATAATTTGATGGGAAAAATGATGAGTGCATGTGTGTCCCTTAGTAATTTGGATAAAATCAATCATTATAGGACACGCAAACATAATCGGTTTTTTTGTAGAATTTCTTGTTTCCTGAACATCTTGAAAACATAATCAAAAGAATATATTTTTTAGATATATGGATGTTTCAAAAATAGCTTTGATTGTGTAACTGAACTGCAAGCATCAATATAAAATGCAGCTCGGATTCCCAGATACTGTATAAGCACGTTTCACAGACAGGAATGTTTTGAAGAACAACAAAATCAAAAAAGATAAGAGATGAAACTCGCGGTGATGTTTTTATTGATTTACACCATAGGAATATCCCTAACACAGAACATATTATAATACCGCGTTGTGTGACAAATTTAAATCCAAATTGTTATATTCCAATATTTAGGACTTATGTTACGAAAAGGGTAGGGTAGTAGTTAGAGAATGCCATTTGGACTTGTAAATGCTCCTGCAGTTTTTCAGAGCACAAAAAACCAAGTCCAATATAAAGATGCAGCTTGGGTTCCCAAATACTGTATAATGCTCCAGCACATTTCACAGACAGGGATGTTTTGAAGAACAACAACATCACAAAAGATAAATCTGTATGCCGCCGAGACACCCGTTATACCTTCTCATCATATAGGGCATATTCAGTATTGAATGATGAAACTCGCAGTGATGTTTTTATTGATTTATAGCATAGGAATATCCCTAACACAGTACATATTATAATTCCCTGCTGTGTGACAAATTTAAATCAAAATTGTTATGTTCCAATATCCAGGACTTATGTTACGAAAAAAGTAGGGTAGTAATTAGAGAATGCCATTTGGACTTGTAAATGCTCCTGCGGTTTTTCAGAGCACAATAAACCAAGTCCAATATAAAGATGCAGCTTGGGTTCCCAAATACTGTATACAGGGCCTACCATAAGGCGAACTGAGCGAGCGCTCCAGGCGCCAGACCTCGGGGGGGCGCCTTCGACTCGTTCCTTGATAATAAAAAAAAAGGAAAAAGTATATTTTCGCTTTGAATTCTGTCTCTGCTTTTCGATATTTTGCTTCTCTGCTTGTGAGCAAGCTTGTGCTTACTTAGTATGAGAATAACCTGTCCTGACGCTTTTTTGAGACGCGCACGGATTGTGGGTATGGTGGCGCCCTTACCCGATCATTTGATCACGATATTTCGGATAGTGATAACAGTCACCCGAAAGCAGTCCTTCAGGCGTTAGCATTAAATAATTGGCAAGATACGTTTCCTTATATCTGGACAGCTCTCCGTATTTTTGTTACCATTCCTGTTACAGTGCCGAAAGGTGAACAGAGCTTTGGTAAGCTTAAGTTAATTAAAATTTACCTTAGCGGTCAACTCTAGCAGAAGAGAAACCTTCAGAGCTAGCCCTGCTGTCCATTGAAAATGTTATAGCTCAGATATTGTCATATGAGGAGATCATAAATAAATTTGCTAATGCAAAAAGTATGCAAACACACGAAAATTTCGTATTTTGTTTGTTCGATTTTTATATTTATTAGGCCCAGTTTATTTGTATTCAGATAAATAACCAATGGAATTAGAGATTGCATTTTTATCGGTCAGATTGCATACCTGACAGTTTATCAGAAGGTGAATAAACCGGCTCTAATGGCCGTTTCCACAAACTGTTACGATAAGTATTCCCTAAACTGACATTTCTTCATGGAAAACTGTCAGTCTAGGGAATACTTATCGTTTAAGGCTCCCCGAAAATAACTAGTTGGTGGAAATGGCCATAAGTGATATTACCAAACTGGATTATTGATTGATCCCAGCAAAGAATGTGAACTAAATGTTAGTAAATAAGAGAACTTTGTACTAACGAACAGAAATGTTTTGAATTTTCAATTGGTAAGATAAATAGAGACATTGAGCTTTTCTTTGTTTCAACCCGGCAGGAAACCGTAATAATGGCTGTGTTTAACGGGACTTAGCGTAAACCCGCTAGCGCTGAAAGCGCCAGGAAGCGCTAACTGTAGCCGTTGAACGACCTATTTATATTTCAAGATTTTCTCTAAACTCTAAACATAACCTAACAAAACGCTAATAAGAATTTTATGTTTAATGACATCGGTATTTACATAATTTTGAATATTCATGTCGAAAATCCGAAAATAAAGCAGCTCCCACCAATATCAACCAAAAACCAGAAGAAAAAATATGTAGGTACCTAATGTTAGGTTAGGGTTTAGGATAGATTCTTTGAATATCAAATTACAGGAAAGAGCGTTTTCTATCTGTCACTATAGACAACGCAGGGACGGAAACGGCCATATTGAGCCTCCAAGTATGGACTCATCATTTGTTTTGGTGGTTCGCTGTGTCCTCATTCAAGTAGATGTTTAATGGATTTTAGCGGTTTTAAGTGTGAAAAATCATGTGCGTGAGTGAGGAGGGCTACACACAATGATAGAATGGGAAGGGATTTCAGACGTGCTTTTATCTGGAATGTGACGTCTCAGTACTCAAGTACATGATAGTGCAGTTCACAACCGTGTCCACACGCCATTCCACGTCACGGTTTTGAGGCAAGTACGGAGACATAAACGCCGCGTAGCAAACTATCACGTTGAAAATTAGTACATGACAACATGCACTTCCAAACGACACGATAAATGACACTTTTCACCCATACACATACGGTTTTTCCTATCCAACTAATACGCCGCGCGTAATCACGTGGTAAATCATTTGAATACTTTGTCAAGTGTATGGAACATGACGCCTTTTTGCCACGCTGTTCTTTCGCGCGTGCAAACCGCTACATCGCAACACGCCACGATAAACCGCGCGAAATAACGTGTGTGTATGCCGGCCTATTTAGCGGAAAGCGCTTGCAAGCGCTAACACCCGCTAAGTCCCGTTAAACACAGCCATTATCGTCAGAATTCTGCGCAAAACCTAAAATGTTTGCATGGAAACCGAAATTCGTATACAGAGTGGTTCCGAAACCGTTCTGGGACGTTTTTTTGACGGGTTGGAACAAACCTATTAAATTAGATAATGTCCAAAGTCAGATCTCGCTCCATACTAAAAGTAGCCTCGGGCCGGCACTGACTGTATAATCCGCCAGCACGTCTCACAGACAGAGGTGTTTTGAAGAACAACAACATCAAAAAAGATAAATTTGTATGCCGCCGACACAACCGTTATACCTTCTCATCAAATAGGGCATATTCAGTATTGAATGATGAAATTCGCGGTGATGTTTTTATTGATTTACACTATAGGAATATCCCTAACACAGAACATATTATAATACCGTGCTGTGTGGCAAATTTAAATCAAAATTGTTATATTCCAATATCCAGGACTTATGTTACGAAAAGGGTAGGGTAGTAGTTAGGGAATGCCATTTGGACTTGTAAATGCTCCTGCGGTTTTTCAGAGCACAATAAACCAAGTCCAATATAAAGATGCAGCTCAGGTTCCCAAATACTGTATAACGCGCCAGCAGGTTTCAAAGACAGGGATGTTTTGGAGAACAAGGGACAGCGGACCCTTTCTTCCTAGGCACAGCTAGTTGCGTTACGCAAACCAGTTGGTCAACATGACAAAAACACGCTCTCGAGTATTTTCTTATTGTCTATTACTATAATAATAATTTTGTTAAATAAACTATATTTTAAACTACCTATCTTTAATTTCCAATAGTCATATGAGAAAGTGGGTTGTTCCTTGTTAAAAACAAAAATACGACCTGATTTTTTTCCTAAACTCGAAAATGAATAAACTATTTTATATCCTACAAGGAAAATGCCCATAAATAACCACTTTCCGCTTGAGCTAAAAGCACTAAATATCCAGAAATTAAACAGCCAACATCTCTAGTAGAAAAATATACGGTTATAGCTTCTAGGAGAGGAAGCTGTTGCTGCATTTTTATCGTTTGCACTTGAGTTGTAGTAATAATGCTTTATTAATAGCCTTCGTTTATATTTGGCTATGAAATGTCATGTTTTTGAGGCCTTCAAAATCTCTCCCCTTTAACTAAAGACTAAAAATAGATTCCATGGAATAATTTTATTAAATAATTAAGATGTGATTTTAATGTAGTAAGCAGTTTTCGTTGGATCAAATTAGCCACTTTCTCATCTGGAGCGCAGTTTTACTTTGAACTTAAATTTTCCGTGAAACGAGTCTTACATACAGAAATAGGGACACTTGCCTTCTAATTACTTTTCCCCAACTAGCAACAATTTAAATTGCAAATTTTGCCGTCACTTCTAAAAAAAAAGCCGGCAAACCTTGGCATAATACCTCAGGATAATCCATCATGTTCTACCGAAAACATGTAGCTGCATTTTCTTTTCAAAACTAATTGGACTGACATTGAAACGTTTCATCTGCGGCCACAAAATTTTAAAATTAGCCATTGTTAACATTGTATTTTTAGTCCGGATTGTCTATAATACGATGATGGTAACAGTTTACATCTTGGTTTGATTATAAGTTATCTGAAATAATTGGCATCCTCCCAAGTCAAAGAACTGACTAGGCAACTTACAAATTATGCGCCCCATATTATGACTCTAAAAGTCTCTAGCTCAATCAACTAAAAAATACTTACCACAGTGATAGGATACATGGGATTGATAATTGTGAAAAGCAATACGTGATTCGGTTTCGATTCTTCCGGTCGTTTTCTTCGTGGCTCTTCTGTATTAGCATTAAAGCTCTGCTGAAAAAAAAAAACAAACATAAATTCTAGTTTAATTAAATCGAAAGCAACAAGGCAACGCCAAAACCGGCTCAACGTAACTCGAGAAAGTACCCAGTATTGGGTTACCTTGGAAAATAAAACTACTTGTTAAAAATCGTTTTGTCTCAGCCAAAACTCATTTCTTTAGGTAACAAGCGTGGGTAAGTACTTCGCCTTTCAAATGTCCATAAGTGGATCAATTAAATGCGGTCGTTTCCTGGCAGATTTTTCTAAAAATTATTTATTTATAGTGTCGGTCTTGAAAACAACTAGATAGTGAGGACGTCGACCCGCACGCAAAGAAGTAGCAAGGTTGACCAGATGCACCGGTTGCTCTACTCACTTTTTTCTTCGCTTGAATTCTCGAGAAACGATGTTAAATTGATTGGTTACGGTTCTATTAGTTTAGGTATCTCTACGACTTGTGCCCCAGCCCATCAAGGCGTTTTCTTTACAATAATAATGTTAGTAGTTGAATAATCTTAAGAAAATATATCTTCTTCTTTTCCTCGTAATGTTCTAATTATACAAGAAATTCAAATCTTCGAATCTTTAAATAGTGTATCAGCATCTATAGAATCTTCGAATTCTATTGAATTTTTGGAGTTTTAGTCTGTACTGTTGCATCTTGAAAAAACATTATTTACTCTTGAATTATCATCTAAGAGTTGTAAAAGTCTTTCAGGTTTCCATAAATTCTTTGAAATTTCCTCATCATTTTTTCAAAATCCATAGAATGTTCAAATTTGATTCCCTGAAAGCCTTCAGAAGTTTCTAAAGGAAACTTTATCAATTTCAAAGTCTTCAGTGTGAGGAGTCTTTAAGTCATAACCTTCAAGACATTTCAAAAGAATATTGGAAATATCTCAGATTCTGGTAGAATCTTTGCTTTTTCTTGTTTATTATTATAAGGCTACAGACAAAATTTTCGGTTTCTTGACAGGTTTGAAATCTAGTTCAACTCACTCTGGCTTAAAAGGAACAAAAATAACCGTTTTAAACTGCTAAGGCTTAACTTTTTAGTTTTACTCTATAGTCACAAATGTATCTATCCCTATCTCAAATTTCAGCTGTAAGATAGAGAGGAATACGATTTTTAGGTATCTTCAGTTGAGTCCTAGCTCTAAAATCTAAATAGAAAATTAGGAATCCAGGTGTGTCTTTAGAATATTTGTTCTTTGGTTTAGTTTTAACCCTACAGACGCTTCAAGTCTTTAAATTCCTCGACGTCTTAATAGGATTTTCATGTTTCTTAAATTAAATTTCTTCTGTGCAACACATACAAATTTCTTTTGCAAACTTCTCTGGGTTAACTTTAGGTGATTGTATAATCTTCATTCAGAAATCAGATGAGTTTTATATAATCCACATTTTAAATTTCAGCTGTAGGATGAAGATAATACGATTTCCAGGTTTATCAAGTTGAATTTCAGCTCTAAAATCTGCATAGAACATTGAGAATCCAAGTGTGATTTTGGAAACTTTGTTTTTTGGTTTAGTCTTAAGCCTGCAGACGCTCAAGTCTTTAAAGGTTCAGCTCTCAGTAAGATTTTCATGCTTCTTCAAATAAATGTCTTCTCTATATAATCTAAAAAAATAAACTGCTCTGGGTTAAGTTCAGAAATCAGACTTTAATGAACTATTATCGATCTGCTCTGTCCCAGTCTCGCCTTGAGACACAGCTTTACCGCTACTAGGTCTCTAGAGCAGAAGTTGTAACGAAGTTACTAAATTTTCCGTGCATCTCGGTCACTCAACTAGTTAAAAATTAGCGCGAGTTCAACCAACCGGGTTTTATGAGACTTACCCCGGAGTGGAATTAGATTGTGAGAGGGATCTAATGTCAAAAATGATCTTTTTTAAATCGCTCTAACTCAGCATTTTCTGAAATAGTAAGAGAGTAAGCTTGGTCAATCGAAGAAGTTATTTGACATTTTTGTAGGCGAGTTCGGAAATGACATCGCAGATGCAACAGATTTTTTTACATGTGACTTCAAATTGATTTTACATAAGGTAAACACGTGACAATTGTCAAAATCGATATGCTCTCAGAGCTATTTTCTGAACGCGGCCTATGAAGTAAAAACAATCCGGATATAAATCCATAAGTTTGACAGTAAAAATTTGGCGCGAGTTTCAAAATGACTCCTCATCCAATGGAAACCCTTATTATATTGTCGTATCTAGGATAATTCAGTTAATTAAACCCAATCGTCTTCCAAAAAAGGTTCATGGGTTTGCAAGTTGAACGAAATATTGAATTATTAATTTGTACAAGGAACCTAAACCCATGGAAGGTCAATGTCAACGACAGTTCACCGATATAGATTATGTTATAATCAGCGATCAAGCGACTATGGTGCGTGATTGTTCAATCTGGTCGCTGCTTTTATCGTTCTTGAGGAGGAAAATAAAATTCAATTTCCTCCAATGCTATTTGGCGAATATGTTGATCACGATATTCAGGCAATCCATGATTCCATGGTTGTATAAAACAGCATATCCTCTGACTTTTGTCTATTGAAGTCTCATCCATTTTCAAACATAAAGAGTACAAGTTCAACCAAGGCGCAATAAACGTGAACTCACGCAGACGAAAAAAGTGTGGATTTGCAGAAAATGAGTACCATCGTCACCAAAAGTATCTGGGACATAAATAATGCATAATAATCTCCTGGACTAATTCTACTGTCATTCATTTCAATGCATTTGATTTATAGTTTGACAAATATTTGACAATAAAATTCATATAATAGGACAAGAGCTATGTGAAGCTGTCCCAGTTACTTTTGGTGACGATGGTACATGCTAGCACGTGTGAGGATGGCTATGTAACGTAATACGCAATGAGAGACCTTCAGTGTGGTTTTGATATATTAACACACTATGTCAAACAGCGCTCCATTACTTTGTGCCTGTAACATGATAGAACGTAAGCGCACGTGACTTGAGATCAGTCTGTTTCCGTCTTTACTGCCTCCATTTAATAAATTTAATGTCGTCATGATAAAAGTGGTACTCTAGATCTAGCAATCTTTAAGAGAACTGTCAAAGTTGAATGAATACCTTGCTCTGATTGGTTGGTTTCAGCGAAATCGACCTATCAGAGTCGAAAATTTTATTTGTCTTTTGACAAAATATAACGAATGCCTTTTTATTGGCTAACTAATCGTGTGAGGTGTTCGTTTTGCACGCTAGGCATCTCCTTGTCCTTGTTCATTAACTGGTCTGATAAGGATAATATTAGGTTCAACTTGACGTAGCTTAAAAAGTGATCGATTTTCAAGATCGCATCATGGCTACGGAACTTTAAAAGTGGCGCCTTTTTTTTTCATCGATGTATGATGTATCCACTATTATGAGACAGTCATACCGATTTACCATGAACTAGACAAAGATGCTCATTGGTCGATCAACCAGTGAAAAAAGAAAGCGCCCAAGCTGTTTGAATTTTTAATTGTTGTTAATTGTAAAATACGATGCACGTCACGCGATCTTTCTTCTTCCCTTTTTATACCGTGCAAATAAGAAGAACGGATTGCTATACGTGAGTCTAACATGATTTGGTACGTTTTGCTTCGTCTTGCGCAATGAGTGTTGCTGCTTCTTCTTATATCCAATGAAGTTTTCGTATTATTTATTTCTGTCAGGAAATTGTCATGCAAAGATTTTGCATTGAATAGAGTGGTGCCAATCTAAATTTACCGCAATTTTTTCACTGTCAAAATTAAACAATCCTAGTAGGCGCTTACAAAAACGCTGATCCGATTAACCCTATCACAGGCTGTTTATTTTTCATCTTTGTTCAATGAACACGATTGAAAAAAGACAAATTTCAGCAGTTGAGGATCAGGTAAATCGAATCCAAGAATCGGACACTAACAGGATTCCCCATCCTAATAAGGCGTAGTCGTTAATCTCGAGTCGGCAGCTGGTCAGCGAGTGACATTACCACTATCAACAGCTGATAGTGGTGACGTCACCCGCAGACTTCGATGGATTACTTGCGGTTCAGGATGTGGCTCTGCGTTCATTTTTTCGTCGATTTTAAATGTAGAAAACTAGAAAAGGTTATTTTAACGTTTAGGATTTCGTTTTTTTGATCTATACAGGGTGTCCCACCGGGAACCAAATCGATTTATATCCTTACAGGGTTAGAAGAAAGTACTGCAACGCTCAAATATCTTCAAAACCGCTTGAGCCGCGTTCACATAATTTGGAATCTGACAGTTTTTGGGCATGCGGAATTGAACAGTGCTATCGGCAATGTTGCCAGATTTCCCAGTATCGCGCTACGCGTAGTCTTGTGTCTTTTTGTTCTTTTAAATAGAATGCAACATTAATTTTTATTGCAATGAATTGGGCGTGCTCGAGAATGTAAGATCAGTTTTCCTCTAGAAGTAAACGTTTAGATTTTACAGCTTGTCAAAGTTGCAAAAACGTAAATTTTCAATTGTCATTATTTCCAAAACAGTTGAACTTAGGTATAGGGTGACATTACATCAAATCTGCTCAGAATATACGGGGTGTCTCATTTAAAATAAGCAAGTTGACGTCTACTTCCGGTATAACCGGAAGTGCCACCATCTTGAAAATATTTTGGCCGGGTGCTCCATTGACATTAGTATACTGTCAAATTTTTAAAAATTTTCTACATACAGTTTTCTATATAAAGATCGATTTGTTTTCCAATGAGACACCCTGTAGTATTTTAAACTCGTATAATGCATTTTTAGCTGGAGTCTCATGCATCCATTTTCAATTTTGTCCCAACCAATAGGAGCTCTGTCTTACCATCGGATGTCGGAAAACGGATGCATGGAGACTCCGGCTTTACACCAAGATTTGAGGTTTTCATACAATAAGCAGTCCCTAGGTTAACTGTTCCTATATCTATAAATCCATAAGTTTGACAGATAAAAATTGGCGCGAATTTTTTATATTTATCTCGATTCTTATATATTCACATATATCTTGAT